TTGCAGGGTGGGCTGTGCAGATTGGCCCCTCACAGCAGCCCCAGCCCTGTGGAAGGAGGTTTGGGGGATGCACAGCCTGGTTTGCACATCCCCTCACCCCTGAATTCTGGAATTCTGGGTGTCCCTCTTTCCCTGCTGGGTCTGCAGCCTCCAGTGAGGTCAGATCAGAGAGAAGAACATGATTATCTGGAAGATGGTTTCATTGTGATCTTTGTTTTCTGGTTTCCTGCCAGTTTAAATTTTCTGGTAATRAAAAGTACAAAAGCTGARGTTATCAAAGAGAAAAACTGAATGRTGCTGCTCAGTGGTTTGTCCTGCTGAATCCTGGGCTGGGGAAACATTTGCATTATTTTGGGGTTTATTCTTGCTTTCTCACTACTTTTGGAGTTTCTAACTTTATTAAAATCTATATAAAGAGTGATAAATTCCTAGAATCATTTGCTGAATGTGAATCAAACCTTTCAGATAGTTAGCTTTTAATCCAGAGTGGATCAGGTGTCCTTCTGGTGACCTCTGAGATGCTCTGGCAGCACGCTGCCTGTTTTTAGGGATGGTGGCATTCCTGAAACCTTGTTGCAGACTTCTGTACTCACAGTACAGAACCAGCTCCTAAATAATCTGATTTATGAGAAAGGAAAACCCTCAGTTGCAGTTGTTACAGTATGTTATAAACYGTTTCTTTGTCTTCCCAATTTGTTTGGAATCAACAAGAATTTKCGAGCTGTCAGCCACTCCAGGAAGGGAAAAAAGTAAACAAGGACAAGGGTGGAGCCCTCTGAAGGTTGAAATATTTCTCCTCAGTGCTGTGACCCAGCTCCAAGCATTTTTGCAGAGCTCATTTTGCTATAAATGGGTTTTGCCTTGCTGGGAAAAGAGCTCAGAGCAGCCGTGCAGTGAAAGGGGCCCTGCACTGGTCCTGTCGTGGGTGAGCTCGGGGCAGATCCAGGGGGACAAAAAGGGCTCCCCATCCTCTCCCTGCTCTGCAGCACCTCCAGATCCTCCTGCAGGCTGTTAATTTAGTTATTCCCAAGTTTTCTCCCACTTTTCCAAAGTGAGGAAATTGTTGTTTCATTGCCGTGCTCCTCTGGAGCCTGTGCTGGTGATAAACTGAATTTCCAGCTCTCTTATTTTCTGCAGAYTGATGGCAGCTCTGTGTCTCTTCTTCCATAAGCAGCTGCTTATGAAGAAACATTTAATAAATGCAGGCAGTTTAATTGAATTTCTGCAACTGCAGCCACAAGGAAGGAGTTGTCAGCTCCCCAGCCTGCCTCAGTTTGGACAAGCTTGTGTTTTATTGCTTGGATTTTTCAGCTTGTGTTTCTTCACTTTGCAGATCTTTTATGACCTGGTCAGACAGATAAATAGAAAAACACCAGTGGAAAAGAAGAAGCCTAAAAAGAAATCATGTCTGCTGCTTTAGACTCCCATCACGCAGCAGCTCTGAGCCAGGTAAGGGGTGTGAGTCCCACTGGGCCAGGGGAGCAGAGCATGAGCTGTTCCTGAGTGAGCTCCCCTTCTTTCTGCTGCTGAATTCCTGAGCAGGAATTCCTTCTGGCTCCTCTGGGTTCTCCTCTGCCTTGTGACATTGAGTTCAGAGCCACCAGGTCCTGCTTTTGCTKCCTTTTATCCTCTGATAAAATTGGGTGTTGCTGCTGTCCCCAGTGMCAAACTGCTTTGGGTGGGACATGGGTTCCAGTGGCACAGAAATAAAAAGCTACCCACCAAAAAAAAAAACCCAAAACAAACAGAAAAACCCCAAAAACAAACCCAACCAAAAAAAACACGCCAAGGCTGGAGGCAGCTATAAATAATCTTCCTGTGTATCTTGGCAGGGAACTGGGTGTGCTCCCAGCTGTTCTGGGGCGCTCCTGGAAGGAAGCAGCAGCTCTGGGCTCCAGGTTTGGGACAGAAATGTCCCTGTTGGAGGTTTGGGACAGAAATGTCCCTGTTGGAGGCACAGAAGGGCATTTGGTGACAGCCCAGCCCTGCCACCTGCCTGTGTCACCGCAGGCTGTCACCTCTGGGGTCTGTGGGATGGATCATCAGTGCCCTGTYCTGCAGTGTTAAACACAAATCCCAATCCCAGAGAGCCCCCAGGGGTGAATTGCTGTGAGCAGGGGGCTGAGCTCCCCTTTGGGCAGGATTTTTGGGGCTCTGCAGTTCTGGGCTGCTCCTCTTGCCCAGCTTTGGGTGCCAGAAACAGCAGCTCRGGGCTGTGGGGAAACAACRGCTTCAGGAAAAGGAATTGAAGAGCTCTGAGTGGCTTTTCCTATTGCTCAGGTGATCAGTGCTGCTCAGCCAGAGTGGAATTGGGCTTCCCCAGTGATCTCTTCCCTCTCCCTCCTCCCCAGGGAGGAGCTGAGCACTGGGAGCTGCCCAAGGAATCCCAGTTCATGGAATGGTTTGGGGTGCTCACCCTCCCATCTCCTGCCCCCCTCCAGCATTCCCTCAATCTCTTCCCCATTCTCTCTGCTGGGTTGAGGCTCGGGGAGCTGTGACCCATCAGACTTTGAGAGCAGCTCAGATACAAAGGCTGGAGTGGCTGTGCCCTGAGAGCTCACACAGGGGTGTCCCCAGAGCCCCGAGGTGCTCACAGGGCACTGTCCCCATGGGGCACCCCTGGGTGTCCCCAGAGCCCCGAGGTGGCTGAAGGACACTGTCACTATCAGGCAGTGACACCAGGGTGGCAGTTGGCTCTCACTGCTCTGTGCCTCTGATAAAACACCACATCTTTGAGAATGACATTTCCACAATCTCCTGCTTTCTGCCCCTAGAAATTCTGGGAACCAGGAGCTCTCCTGCTGCCTCTGGGCCATTGGTTTCAGACCTCAAGGTCATTGATCTCAGCAGCAAAAACAACAAATGTCCCTCCATCTTCTTTTTTGTAATTTTTTTCTTATTTCTAATTTTTTTCTAATTTTCTCCAGATTGCAGGAATGAAGAACTGTTGCCTAAATGGAAAGTGCCAGCATTCCCAACTTCAAAACCTTACGGAAATGAGTAACATATCGGAAGAAGCTTCTCCTGTTTTTTTTATATACTACGAGAAGAATTTAGATCTTAAAAATGGTTTGCACACAGTCCCTGGAAGAAGCAGTTGCTCTGTGTATATCTCTTGGAAATTTAAGCCAATATTTCTCCTCCTTTGCAATAGCAATTAACAGATGTGAAAATAAATATAATTGACTCTAGCATATGATTATCCCAAGGAGCATGGATGCATTTCAAATGTTAGAGATTGCTACTATAATTAAAATTCATATTGACCATTTTATCATCATTTCTCCCCATCAAGCACTAAAAAWGTTCCACTGTTATATTTTATATCTATAACTATAGATATATATTATCCAAAATTTCCCTTTGAACTCACTGCAACAAATAACTTTTTGAGTCATTGACTTCATTTTATATTTAAAAGTTACGGAATATCATTATTTTCATTCTGCCATTATATTCTAATTAAAAATGTTTGTGCATAATGCTTTGGAAAAATGGGTCTTTTATAGGAAAAAAAACTGGGATAACTGATTTCTATGGCTTTAAAAGCAAAAATATATAATATACTAAACCAACTCTAATATTGCTTCTTGTGTTTTACTGTCACAGATTAAATTACAGCTTTTATGAATGATTAAATTTTAGTACATTTTCATTTTTGTTTCTGTGTTTTTGTTACGGGTTTGCTCCATGTTTTGTGAGTGCCTGGTGGATCAGGGGTTTTGTTGAGGTGTCCCCATCTCGTTCTGCCTGGCAGGATTTCTGCTGTCCCCATGTTGTATTTTCCATCCCCAGGGACAGCAGCAGCTCTGAATTTTCCTGTGGCTGTTTCAGGTTTTATTCCTGCACGGATTCCTCTGTGCCATTCCTCTGATTGGGGATGCACAGGTTGGGTTTTGTTCTGACCAAGCTCTGACGTTGAGGATGATCCTCAGTTTCAAMCCCGGTTTTGGCTGGCGGTCCCTGATCTGTTGAAGGAGTTTTTGCTTCATTTTGGGTTTGTTCCTTGTGTTTTTTTAATACCTGTTGGTTTCCTGAAGTTCCAAAGAGCAGGATCTGAAGGGATCTGTGGCTGCTCCATCTCCTGTCTGTGTGCAAGGCACAGATCCTGTGGGATCCCAGTGCCATCCCCGGGGATGCTGCTGCAATTCCACACTGCTGGAGGACTCCTGCTTCACCTCTGAGTAAGTGAGAGGAGAAAAATACCTTCCCAGTGGAGAAAACTGGGCACAGGCCTTGTCCTGCTGSTTAAAATGGGAAATTAAAGCGTGACTGTTGGTCCTGGACCCGCTGTAGAGTTTTATGGGAAGCCAGGGGGAGGAGTTTTTTTAAATAGGTTTTTCTAAAACTGTGTTCCTGATGCAGCTGTTGAGTTAGAGAGATCCCAGTTTTGAAATGCAGCCCAAACATCTGGATAATGTGACAACATCTGCCTGCTTACCAGCACTGAGACAAGTATAGTTCCTTTAGCTGGTTGTGTCTTCCTTTTTCAGGAGGAGCAGACAATGGTGTTTGCAGGTTGCTTATCTTTACTAAATGTAAAAATATTTTAGTAATAAATTTCAATGAACACGGCGATTGTTAGACGTCTTTTGGATAAAAGGGGGCGCAGAATGAGCAGTAAATGCGGTGTGAGGATGGAGGATGGGGCTGGGAACATTCCCGAGCCCGGGTTGCCGCTAGATGGTGCGGGAGAA